TTGGTGGCAATCGGAAGGTAAATGACGTGTGCAGGCACTTCCACAATCTTATATCCTGGTGGAACGCTGGGGAAGAATTCATGGATAGTGTGAACTTTTTGGTTATTTATATACGCTCCAGATGTTATATTGCACTCAATTCTAACTGAATTAACCTTTAAAATGGCTACAGGTAAATCAGAAGTATGTGCTCTATGAGATGACAGTTTCTGCGATGTAAATCCCAACAACTTACCAATCGAATCTTTAGGTTTAAAATCAATTGGTAAATTAGATTCAACAATACTGCGTAATGTATTATTATTAGGTTTTATACTAATAACAGTTCCAGTTTTTACAGAATTTTGTAAATATGATTCAATATCTTTAATTTCATAACTTCCAGTTGGAATATCAATTACTTGATTTCCAACGTAAAACTTGTTATTTCCTTTATCAATATTGGGAATTGAATTAAAAGTCAATAGTTCAACAAGACCAAGTACATAACTTTTATTTGAATTTAGTTCTATTGGAGGGAAATATTCAGCTCCCAGAACTGAAGAATTATGTATCATAATTTTGATATGTTTTATGATTATATTTTATTAAGCTACCATCACCCAAGTAAATGACAAGATCTGTTGGTGGAGCAAGGTTACCAAAACTATCAAAATACATTGTTTCATTTTTGAATTTTTTATATGCTACCCAATGTGTTCCAGCACCTTCTTTATTATCAAGATTAATTATTCCTGATTCATACTTGTAAGGACCACTTACAGGTAGTTCATTTCGCATAAAAATACCACGAAAATGCGGTATTTTGACAGCTTTGGCATGCTTCCACAGATCAAAGTCAGTTAATGGACGGTGAGGTAGCTTCAAAACAAGTTTTTTTTGCTTCTTGTTGTTTGCTTCTTTTTTCTTGATGTTTGATTATTAATTCCTTTTCCTTGAATGTAGGGTTTCAAGTGGAGACCAAGTCCTTGTCGATAAGGTTTAAGGTGTAATCCCTTTCCAAGCGATATGGCTTCCATAGTTCTATTGTGACGTTGAGCTTCTGCGAGTTGTTCACTAGCTGTTTTAGCCTTATTATCAGCTCTTGCTATTCCTGAAGCACCTCCAGCAAGAGCTCCTAAAGCACTAAGTCCAGCAAAAATTGAACTAGCGGTAAAATTCCACCTACTTTAGTAGGTACAGGAAGAATTCTAGGTGATAAAATTTTGGATTTACCACCAACATTTTTTATTGCTTTTTGAGCACCAATCATAGCTGCTCTTATTGATTCTTCGGCATTATTACTGAGAAACATACTATTTCGAGCAGCATCAACAATTTTTCTTAGCGCTATTTGCTTCTTCTTACACATTGTTTTACTCTTTTTCTTCTTTATAGATGATTTCCTTTCCATTCCCATGCCTAATTTTGATTTAGCTTTCATGGTTCCGGAAATAGCTAAAGCAGCTGCTCTTTCACTTACACCAGAATCTTTAGCTGTAACACGTTCCCACGCTTTCTTAGCTAATACTTTATCTGCTTCGTTTCTAGCTTGAATATTTTCACGATTTTGCGAATAAGCAATGTCGTGTTGTTTACATGCAGCGTCTAGTGGATTAATTCCCTGATCACCTCGAGACAAACGCTTTGCCAACTTTGTACCAGGTCCACAGAATTGATATTCTGGTAAATGTAACTCAATCGGTAAACTATTTATGATACGATTGATTAAACCTTTTCCTTGATAGCGTTCTTTTTTCACCTCCTGATGCAGAATCATACTTCACTCTACAATGGTTGACGTGAAACTGACAAATTGACTATAAAAGCTAGGTATTTATAGATTTTCGAGCAGTTACTGTCAAGATGCAGTTCACGAAACAACCTGTCGCACTGCCAATCTCTAGTATAGATGTTGAAACTAATGAAAAAAAGATTAAACGTCACGGTAGTCTGTTTTCAGACAGCATTCGTGCAGTTTTCTGTGGCCCCTCAAATTGTGGTAAAACAAATGCTCTTCTTTCCCTAATAATACATCCAAATGGTCTAAGTTTTGAAAATATTTACCTCTACTCTAAATCTCTACAGCAACCGAAATATAAATTTTTAGAAAATGTAATCAGTCAGGTAGATGGTGTTGAGTATTTTCCATTTAGTGAACATGAAGAAGTAGTATCTCCAAAAGATGCTAAAGCAAATTCAATATTCGTTTTTGATGACATTGCTTGTGAAAAGCAAGATAATGTTAGAGCTTTCTTTTGCATGGGCAGACATGTAAATGTTGACAGTTTCTATTTATGTCAAACGTATGCTCGTATTCCTAAACATCTTGTTCGAGATAATGTTAATTTATTGGTTCTATTTAGACAAGATGAAAAGAATCTGAAACATGTATACGAAGATCATGTTAATACAGATATGAGTTATACTCAATTTCGTGATTTATGTTCAGAATGCTGGAAATCTGACAAATATGGATTTGTTGTTATTGATAAGGACCGTAATTTTAATGAAGGAAGATATAGAAGAGGATTTGATTGCTTCATTTCACTATAAATACAAGAACTTTATTGAATTTTTCATTAGTATAGTTTATCTTGTCTCGAAGAAAACATGTATCGAAAAGAGCAAGAAACGCTTCGTCAAATAGCAAAAGCAAGTGATGCTATTAGGCGGAAACATCGTTTACTCAAAATGGGTAAAGAGGCTGCAGAAATAGTATTGAAAGAAACTTTTCAACCAATAGTAACACCTCTGGAAAAGTTGGTGAACATAACTGACATACCTTTCAAAAATATTAAGAAAGAAAAAGTTAAAAAGGAGGAAAATGATTTTTCTTTTTCAACTGCTGTTGATGAGGAAGAGGAATTTGATAAAACACTACTCAATGACAGTCTACTTGATAAGAGCAACAAGTTTGAAGAAGAAGAAGAAGAACTTAATTATGAAAATTTGACAAATAAGTTTATTCAATTATTGAATAAAAATAGGAAAAGTTTTTTAGACATGGTTTATGGAGTACGTAAGCTTCCTAATGGTTCTTTTATTATTGATGATACACCAGTTGATTTAGAAGGTCTACATATTCAACTTGCTGGAAAGAAAAAATATTTAAAAACTGCTGGGTTGATTGAACTTTTATTTAAACAAAGACCTAATCATGCATTAATAAGTCCAGATGATTTGGAAAATTATAAAGAAATTCTTGTAGCTACAAATGCACACCGAAAAAATTATAGTTCCAGTGGACTTGTCAACGTAACCAGGAATTCTAAATACACTGATGTAATTTCAAAACTTTTTAAGGGTACACCAAAAAAGGGTAGTGGTGTTTTGAAGAAGAAGAAGCTTGGAAAGAAATTACCTCAATTTATGATTTCAAAGAAACAATTTAACCCAGACTACATCTATTGGGATGATCCCAATGAACTAGTTGACCGATTACGTCTGCTAGTAGCATCACAGCAAGCTGGAAATCCGAGCCATAATAATGAAATTATGTCAATCATCAAAGAACTACGTGAAGCTCACATTATATATTAGGAGAGTACAAGCAAATAGAGCTTAGTATTAAAATGAGCATTGATGTGTTTGGACATCCCTTGTCAAGGCCTCTTGCAAGTCGTGGACTTCCTGGACCTTCTGGAATTGGTTTTAAAATTACTCCAAGTGAACAATACGACATTGATAACAAAAGACTTTGCAACGTTCAAGACGCTGAAGAGCAACGAGACGCTGTAAATTTAAGACTTGCACAGAAAATTATTAAAAACGAGATAAAAACAGTTTTTCAAATCACATCTTCTTTAAGATCAGCTATTGATGATTTGAATCTTTATATTCGAATTATCGAAGATAGAGTAAACGAAAGACTTAAAGAAATTGAATCACAGCAAAATTACATTATCAAAGAGGCTAAATTTATACAACAGTGATGGATGATCAAAAATTAACAGTTGTATCTGAACTGCATAAACAAGCTAGAAGAAATTATCCTCGTCGAAAAGTTCAAATGCGTGGTATAGATGAAACCTGGCAAGCAGATTTAGTTGAAATGATACCTTATTCTTATTCTAATAAAGGTTTTAAATACATGCTCACAGTTATAGACATATTTTCCAAATATGCCTGGGCTGTAGCTGTAAAGAGTAAGAATGGAAAGGATATTTCTTCGGCCATGAAATTGATATTAAAACAAGGCCGAATTCCCAAAAATTTGCATACTGATAGAGGAAAAGAATTTTACAATTGTGAATTTAAGAGTTTAATGCAAGAATTTAACATTAATCTCTATTCTACATATAGTAATTTGAAAGCCTCAATTGTTGAAAGATTTAACCGCACTCTAAAAAATATGATGTGGCCTGAATTCAAGTTACAAGGAAATTATAAATGGATTAATCTTTTACCAACTCTCATGTCAAAGTACAATAATAAAAAGCATCGTACTATTGGTATGAAACCCAAAGATGTCACCGTAGAAGATACAAGAGAACTGCTGAGACGTATCCGTAAACTACGTAGAATTCCGCTGAAAAGATCAAAATTCAAAGTTGGAGACAGAGTTCGAGTTAGCAAATTTAAAAATATCTTTGAAAAAGGATATACTCCCAACTGGACAACGGAAATATTCACCGTGGATAAAGTTAAATCAACAAAACCAGTTACATACAAGCTGAAAGATTACCAAAATCAACCCATCGAAGGTGGTTTCTACGAAGAAGAATTGCTGAAGGTCCAATATCCAGATGTTTACCTTGTAGAGAAAGTTCTCAAGACTTGTGGTAATGATGTATACGTGAAATGGCTTGGATTCGATAGCTCACACAATAGTTGGATAAAAAAATCTGATATGTAATATAGTTAAAGTATAGTTAAAATAAGTTAAAGTATAGTTAAAGTAACGTTAAATTAACATTAAAGTATAGTTAAAAAAAAGTTAAACTATAGTCAAAATAAGTTAAAGTAATGTTAGAAAAAGTTAAAATAAGTTAAGATAAGTTTAAAAAGTTAAAATAAATTCATGTAACTAGATTAAGGTTTATTTAAAATAAAGAAGACATAAAATAAAATGAACATCTTTTATTCAAACAAACAATTCCTTCCTCTCCCTCCTTATTAACAATTTTTTTTTCTATTTACAATGGTTCATTTTCTTCTTCTTCCATAATGTCTACAATTTTACAGTGTCCCCATGCAAGGGTGTCGGTGCTGTTTGATAACAAATATCTCTTGTCATCGTAAGGACTTAGTGCAATCTTTGTTTGTTTTAATGTTTGGACTTTGTGAAGTTTTGACCTGATTGAATACTGTGTTCGACGTTGCATTTCAACATTTTGTAAACAATAAACATAATCGTCAAAATTAATATTTTTCTTTACAACGACGTACTTTACACCTTTAGCCTTTTTTATTAAATCTTTCTCTTCAACTCGCACACTATACATTTTGCTCCGCAAGCCAACAAACTCTGTTACAATTTTTCCGTTGCACTCATCCTTCATCATTCCTAAAATTTTTTTGTTGGCTTGCGGAATGCCGTAAACGTTATTTACAGGGAAATCGGAAGTATCAAATTTATGAATGTCTTCTTTCATGTCTGCATATACATCAGAGCATTTAATTTCATAAATTAGGCTGTCAGTGTCAGTATACAACAATTTCAAATTTTTTTCATTATACTTTTTTAGCATATAATCATAGTGGAAGTCGTAGATTAAAGTTTTTGAAACATCTAAAACTGCCAAGCCAACATAAAGTGGTTTGTTCATAAAAATCTCCATTTTCCTAAGTTCTACAGCAACTAAATTTTCATTAAAGATGGTCCTACTGTGGAAATTAGGTTTTGCTATAAGGGCTTCAGCTCCATATCTACCCTCCCACTTTGTCACAAGTTTAATTTCAACATGTTTCCGCACGTTCTCCATTGTTTTGCCAAATACTGCATTATTCATTAATTTAAACAAGTTTTTTTCAAATTCATTACTGGCGTTTGTTCTTTGCGTGGTATTTTTTTTTTTTTTTTTTTTTTTTTTTTTTTTTTTTTTTTTTATTGTTTATACTCCTGCCCTATTGGCCTTACGCACTTCGACAAGAGTCCCCGAGAAATACTTTTTTTGGATTAAGCATAACCATTCTACTTTAGAAATTTTCTATATATTAACCTAATTTGCGTCTACAGCCGACTTTATTAGAAGTACTCGCATTACGCCTGGACCACCCGTCAATGGGTTTTCTCGCCAGAGAAGAGGGAAACTGTAGAAAACCTCTCTGAGTACAACCGGTTTATCGACAGTCGAGTTCTAATGGTGTGTACCGGACAATAATCGACGGTGCACATCATTATACCTCGACGTCAAACCTCCCGCTCAGATTGTCTCACGTGCCGGAAAAATACCAAGCCAAGTGGGCGCGAACCAAGGATACTTATACCCTTGGTCCTTAAACGACCACCAACGCCAGGCACTTATCCGACTGAGCCAATCTGTCGGTCTTTGCGTGGTATTAAAGTCAATGTAACTCTTAAGCCAAGTAGATTGTTTGAATGTTAAGATGCGATGAATGTGAATTAAAACTAAACCGTTGTCAATAGCTTCTTTTAAGGCACGATAATGGAGAACGTGCTTTCGTTTCGGTAGGAGGGTAGTAAGGAGCTTTTGATCTTTTGATCCTGGCGGCTTTGAGCGTTCTGGGCAAAAGGGAAAATCACTATGTTTATCATGAAGTTGATCTGGATAATCCAAATCAACTTCAAGGATGTACCCAATTGGATCATCATCTGAAACATTAAAATCGAAATCATTATCAAAATTTTCTTCCCACTCAAAGCCGCCATAGGGTAGAGATTGAACCATGGCCCAACCATACAAGTTATTTGCGTCAAAGTACATGATATAAGATGTTTCCTCACTCTCATTGTAATTTTTCACATAACGGTTATTTGCTTTCGCGTACCGATTTGTGCACTGACTCACCCCACCTCTTATTCCACGTTCGATAAACATTACCATGTCAATGTCTGTGAGGAGTTCCAATCTTATATTCGTGTACTTTAGCATGGCATCCCATGTCAATCCTGGCGTTGTATAATAATGTGCGGGATCAAGACCGTATGAAATTAAGCACTGATTTCTGAAATTTTCGAAGACATCTGCAAGTAACAATATATCAGTTTGCATATACAAATACACATAATCACCTAGATTTTGACAACCAAACTCACTCCATACTTTCTGCGCATGTACATAATCTTCATCAGAAACATTCGAATCATTCAATGTACTATAGAATTTTTCTTTCGGTGGCAACTGTGTTTCATCGAGTTTTTCCCTAGTGTCAATATACTCGTAGGGGAATACCCCTTTACGCGTTAACAATTTAATTTTTTCATTACTGTAATTTGAAAAGACTGAGTTTACAATTTTATATTCATTAAGATAGGATGCTAACTTATCCAATGATGATGCCATAAATTTAAATGAGTCGATGAAACGGAACTTCAAAAAACTACCTTTTACATTTTTAGTAAAACCAATATACTTTTCCTTATTTATAGGAAGCAGATTAACATTACCATCAAATGATGTAGCAATAGCTTCAATAATAAAATGAGCGTCGTAGCCACTAAGATTATGAAAAACAACTGGTATGGTCTGCGACTCGTGATAGTTAATGTTACAATCTTGATGTGCAGGTCCACGATACTTCCCTGTTAGATGACAATGGTCTTGCACTTTTATATCTCCATTCACGAATTTCTTTCTACAAATATGACAATTACTATCATTTCGAAATGCTGCTAGTTGGTATGGACTTAATGTTTCCATTGGTACAGGATTCTTGAACATTAAATCTAAATTTTCAGACAAATTTTTCAACTCAGTTGAAAACCATTTAGAAGGATCTTCCTCATCCTTTGGTGATGCTTTATATGTTGATAACGAATCATCAAAGGTGCATTTTAAGTAGTAGCCAATACTGAGCGGTTTATGATTTTGGAAAACCTCAGTATTGTTGGCTTGTAGTTGTGGATTCTCTGCTGGAACTAAAAGACTCTCACAATCAGCATAAATGATAAACGGCACACGCTCCTTGTTTTGGAAATTTTTAAATTCAACAAAATTTCTCCCCACTTCCGGTAGTTTAATTCTGGTGTAGTTTATCTTCCTGCAAGTTTCTTCATGCTCACTAAGCTTACTTTCATTTCCAAAGTAATGGAGGAAGCGATCACAGATGTATTTCTTGTTTTTCTTCTTTGATAAATCGGAACTAACAAGTCTTGATAAATCCTTTATCCAAACATAATGGTAATTAAAAGAGATGAGATTTATTTCATTTTCCTCCTCCCCCTCCTCATCATCACTTAGATTTTCATCTATGTAGTGGTCTTCAATTCGAAGAAGATTGATGTGATTAACCTTCTTTTGAGATGAAAGATGTAGAGGTGAAACTGTAAACTTCTCACTTTTTTTGACAAGTCCATATACATTTACTGAAATATTGTTTAGAGATTCAAATTTGAAAATGTCTTTTAGAGAAACAGGAAATTCTATTCCACTAAAATTTAGTGTATCTTCATAGGGTCTGTATTTTGAAACTCGTTCGGCGTGTTTGTCTGCTGGGTATAGTGCTGACAATATTGCCCATTTAAAACACTGATTATCAGCATTTTGGACATTAATGCAGGCATGTTTTCGATTGATAGCAGCTGGCAAATTGATATAAGAACTTGCGCGCATAGGATTGTATTTGTTAATGTTAACCTCCAACCTTTCAATAGAATGAAGTCTCCAATTAGAATCTTTCTCTTGGAATTCTTCCATTCTTTTTAAGGTTACTTGTTTAACATTTACATTGTACCAGTCATCTAATAATGTTGTAACTAAAATATCACCAGTTTTTGCGATAAATGTTTTTAAATCAGATATTTCTTCCGTTTTTCCATCGATTGAATCTTTAACAAATTTCGCGTACAATACTGTATACACTTTTAACGGACCAAACCGGTTCAACGCTTTTTCAATGTTAACCTTAAATAAACTAAAGGCATCATCAAGGAATTCATTGATGTCCTTGTAATCTAAATTCATTACAGCACTATTTTGCAACCTACCCTCAAACGCTTCTTCAAAATCCACCCATTTCATTCTATCATTCGACACTTGCACACCTGCACCACGTTTCATTACATTATCAAAATGGCAGCGCAAGTATTCCATTTTTTCAATTAAATTTAAGCACCTAGATCTTTGTGACGAAGAAAAATTGGACTTATGAAAAAATTCCCTTATAATATTCTTATACCGTTCACACTTGTTCTGCCATTGAAATGCTGTAATGCATTTTTCATCACCAGTCAATGATATTGTAGTAATGAGCTGACATTCCACTGTTTTAATAAAGTTGTCAGATTCCCGAAAAAATTCATTGTACTCATCAGTGTCAATACGTTGACGAATCTTCTTAGAAGATTTACACTTTGGCATCTTAAAAGCTAAATATAAAAAAAATACACCTAAAACTAAGAAAAAACTTTTAAAAATCCTGAAATAAAAAAACCACCACCACCTTAATCCTAATATAAAATAAAAAAGCCTAAAATAGTAAAAAAGACCACAACCTTAAACCTAATACAAAATAAAAAATAACTATAATAATAAAAAAATCAATAAAACCAACAAAAACTTTGAAAATGAACTGTGGAAACTCTGAAAATTGACTCTGAATACCCTGAAAACCTGGAAATAGTTAGTTGCACCTTACAAGATGCAACTGATGATTGTGGCTCACGGTCCGCAACTTATACCCCAGTCCCCACCATACTCACTCCCCCACTACACCACACCCCACTACTCCAGAGTCGCGCGCAACTCTCCTACCACAGTATAATAAACGTTGACTAATAGAATAACTTAAAGTTAACAAACTCCAAAAGGGGAATCGGTAAAGTAAAAAGTAGAACCCTGACAGAGATTGAACAAAATTATGACAGAAATCTACCTTACCGACTGATGGTAATACTTACCCTCAGTCGGTAACTTACCATCAGTCGGTAAATTACCTACCTTTTTAGTAGAGCATTACTATAAAAGTCATTAAAGTCAAACACCAACTGAACTTCATTTACGGGCATGAAATTTAAAATCACTCACAACAACGGACTTAAAACTATGAAAATAAAAATTCAAATATCCCTCCAAGGAAGTTTAAATTGGTTAAAAAATAAAATGGCGTCATCCAACGGTGGCAGCCGGTACTAAAACTCAGTCGGTAAGGTAGAACACCCCCTCTAACCCACCTAAACTTTAAAAATGAAAATTCAAATATCCCTCCAAGGGAGTTTAAATTGGTTAAAAACTTAAATGGCGCCATACTAAAAATCGGTCGGTAAGGTAGAACACCTCTTCTAACCCACTTGAAAGTTTAAAAATATAAATTAAAATACCCCACTAAGGGGGTTTAAAGTGAGAAAAAATTAAAATGGCGCCATCTAGCGGTGGCAGCCGGTACTAAAAACTCGGTCGGTAAGGTAGAACACCCCCTCTAACCGACTTGAATTACCGACATCGGTCGGTAACTGGGCCAGAACCCGCCTAGCTATACTACTGAATTCAATTAAAATTGTTTTGAAAATAATTGAATTCCTGCAAAGAATTTTACTATTTATAAAATTAATTGAATTCTTCGGAAGAATTTTACTATTTATAAAAATAATTGAATTTTTTCGAAGGATTTATTAAAATTTTAAAAAATAATTGAATTCTTTCGTGAAATTTTCAAAATAAAAAATTTTGTAATTTGCAAAACAATAATAAGTTGAATATCTTGTACCGCGCGTAACATTTCCTATTGCGTAAAAATGTGGTAGAAGCAATACAGGGTTTAAGGTTCAATTAGGACTTAAAAAGGAGTTGTCAGAGTTAAATAGAACTTACGCAGGAGGAAAAAAACACCAAGGGTTTGTTAGGTGCAGGTTAGGGTTAAATTATACTTACCAGGAGGTAAGCAGGTCTAAAAGTTCGACTCGGGTGTGTATATAAATTTTAAATATGATTTAAATGTTTAGAAATACTTTTTAGCTAAATTGCAATCTATAACATTTCTTACTTTATTTATTAGCTAGTTGATAACAGTGTTGAAATTTTTATCTAAAATATTTTTAGGTTAAAAACTTTTATTTTCTGCAAGTCCCCAAACTATGTATATAACTTTTGAATAATATTTAAATATTTACAATACTTTTTAGGTGAATTGCAATCTATAACATTTTTTACGTTACTTATTAGTTAATTGATAAGAGGGTTTAAATATTTAACAAAGATATTTTTAGCTTAAAAACTCTGATTTGATGCAGGTACCCAAACTTTGTATATAAATTTTAAATATGATTTAAATGTTTACAAATATTTTTTAGCTAAATTGCAATCTATAACATTTCTTACTTTATTTATTAGTTAGTTGATGACAGTGTTAAAATGTTTATCTAAGATATGTTTAGGTTAAAAACTTTGATTTGCTGCTGGTCCCCAAACTATGCATCTAACTGTTTAAACATTAGCAAGTACTTTTTAGCTAAATTGCAATCTATAACATTTCTTAATTTATTTATTTCTGATCAACAGTTCGATATTGAACAGAGCCAAGTATTGCCATTTGTTTGTGTCCTCAATAGCTTGTTTTTGATATAAAACTCACGAGAAAGCTCGCAGCTAGGTTTTCGGGACGTGCGTTGACTTAAATTTCTCGAGAAGAAAATATTTCTCGCGCTTTTTATTTCTAGTCGTTTTGTGAAAGGTTTTAATTTATTTTATAGATAAGAATATGTTTATTGTTGATTTTTTAAGTGTTTTTAAATATCTGCTTATATTTTGTGTTTCCATTGCATTGTATTGCGTACAAATCATTTTTCGCAAAATATCATATTTGGGGTGATGTGCAATACTTTTTTTTGGGGTGGACGTAAAGCTACTTTTTACGTGACAAAACTGCAAATTACATGATGAATAAAAAATGCTTAGTTATTTTCCTTTAATTATATTCCTTATTCAGTTACGAATAAATAAAAAATTAAACAAAAAAAAATTTTTTTTCTTTGGTGAAATCTTCATTTTTTAGAGGTCAACTATATCTTAGTAAATTTTTTTTTGTCAGATTTCGATTAGTTTGCATTTAAAAAGCCTAAAATTAATAATTAAAGAAATTTTCATCAATAATTATGCATTACATACCTAAATTAAATGTTATAGAAATATATTTCTTGCTTTAAAATTCTGATTTGTTCAAGGTTCCTAAAATATGCATCGAACTTTTCTAATAAAATTTAGATATTAGCAAATACTTTTTAGCTAAATTGCAATCTATAACATTTCTTACTTTATTTATTAGTCAGGTGATAAGAGGGATTCAATGTTTTAGAAAGATATTTTTAGCTTAAACATTATGATTTGATGCTGGTCCACAAACTATGCATCTAACTGTTTAACTACACAGAAAAAAAGTCTTAAAACTGTGAAGGGCTAATTTTAAAATCAGGCTTAATTTTAGTCTGTAACGATATTTTAGCCTCATAATTAACTTAAGAGTATTGTTAACACGCCTTAATCTTAAAGCAATAAATATTTATGACTTAATTTTATATGTGAGTCTTAAATGTAGTCTCAGCGAGACTAGTAGAAACTTTAAGAACTCAACAGATAAAATGAAGTCGAAATGTAGACTAGTTTTTAGTCCCCTAGCGTCTATAGTCCCTTGGAAGGGGAGATTGCTCTGAAATTAATTGCTACAATATTATTCAGAGAAAAAGTTGCGCAGTAAAAATCGAAAAGTATCGAAATGCTTATACAAAATGGTGACTTTTATATATTGTTACAACTCGTTTATATTTATACATAGAAGATAAATGTAAAACAAATATGTATGAAAAGTTTTTATTATATTATGTGCAAGCATAGTTACACTGAACTGAAATGAATTTGATTCAATTAACCGATTTCTTGTCTATTATTAAATAATGACACTTATAAGGTACATGTTAACAAATGTCATCATGAAAGTAGATGAAAAATTAAACTTCAATAATAAAAGAATAAATAAATAATTTCATTTTATTATTTTAAATAGCTAATTTAACTTTTCTTACAGATGCTTATATTACAATCTGTTACCGGCATCTCCTGATATAGTTAATAAATATAACGTTATATTCAATAGAAAAATAAATTTGAACTGTATTATTTACTACTTTTAAGTATTTAAGAAAGCTTTATTTTAGTCACTATATTGACTTGCGAGTAAATTGAAGTTTAAAAGGAAACTACTTTTAAATCCACTTTTTGGCTATCGGCTATTTTTAAGACTACATAGCGACTTCATTCAAGCCTGAGTACCGACTTTTTTTAAGACTCTTTTTACAAACTAATTTTAAGTCTAGGATGACTACTTTTTGTTACATCTTAAAATTAGCTCGTTTGTAGACTTTATTCAAAACTTATTTTTTTCTGTGTACAATTTAAACATTAGCAAGTACTTTTTACCTAAATTGCAATCTATAACATTTATTACTTTATTTATTAGTCAGTTGATAAGAGGAATTCAATGTTTTAAAAAGATATTTTTAGCTTAAACATTATGATTTGATGCTGGTCCCCAAACTATGCATCTAACTGGTTTACTACAATTTAAACATTAGCAAATACTTTTTAGCTAAATTGCAATCTATAACATTTCTTACTTTATTTATTAGTTAGTTGAAAGGAGGGATTAAATGTTATAGAAAGATATTTATTGCGTAAAAATTCTGATTTGCTCAAGGTCCCCAAATTATACACCTAATTTTTTAAAAACAATTTAAACATTCGCAAATACTTGTTAGCTAAATTGCAATCTATAACATTTCTTACTTTATTTATTAGTCAATTGATAAGAGGAATTTAATGTTTAAGAAAGATATTTTACGCTTAAGCATTATGATTTGATGCTGGTCCCCAAACTATGCTTCTAACTGTTTTACTACAATTTAAACATTCGCAAATACTTTTTATCTAAAACGCAATCTATAACATTTCTTACTTTATTTATTAGTCAGTTGATAAGAGGGAATCAATGTTTAAGAAAGATATTTCTTGCTTCAAAATTCTGATTTGTTCAAGGTCCCCAAACTTAACATCTAATTTTTTTAAAACAATTTAAACATTCGCAAATACTTTTTAGCTAAATTGCA